CTCTTTTTAAAGCGAAACACCACTGCCTGTGTGCTCACTCCTGAATCAACTGAAGAAGCCAAAAGGATGACACCTGGGCCATTTTCTGAGTCCTAATTAAGAGGGGCTTCCCAGAGACTTTCAATCTCAGAACAACTTCAGGGACTGATTTCAGAATGCATCTCATCGAGTCTGTCTCAACCAAGAGATCACTAGCATTTAGCACATCCCTCTCCTGACTAACACTGTAAGATGAACTGTGCTTACAAAAGGAAAGAAATTCGACAGCAAATAACACACCAGGTGGATGCACCCAGCCTGTAGAAGCCCAGGCCTCCTGCCCCAGGGCAGCGCTAACTCATCTGAGGACAAACATAAGCATCCGTGTGTCTGCTTGGCCCACAGTCATTTTTACAACCTTTCAGTGTTTGAGCAACCTAATTTTTCTGTGTCACCTGGCCACAAACTCCTTGTTTTTATGACCAGCAGAAGTGTCTTTGAAGCAGTAGCTTTCGCTACTTATCATGAACGGGTAGACAATGGCCTGCGGGTAGTGGTCGGCAATGTCCTCCACGGTGTGCTGGATGGCAACCGCCTCCTCCTTGTCCAGCAAGGGCAGCATGTGGCCGATCCAGCCGATGAACTCCCAGCAAGGGACAGAAGAGATCTGCAACAGAAAGCAGGGACTCAGTGCTGAGTGAGACATTTAATGTTCTTTCCCTACACAGGGGCTGTGTGTCCAACATCAAAGCACAGCTACATTTGTGATTGTCAGCATAAAAGCAGACAGACGCACCGACAGAGGTTGGCCCTCTCCTGCCCTTTCGGTTTTGACCCGCCAACAGCCTTCTCTGGGCACTCAAACAGCCCCTTTCTTTACAAGAATGGGAGCAGACAGAACCGCTGTTGCTGACTCTCCTTAGATTTACGTCATTCCTTCCGCCAGCTGCACTGTATCCCATGTCATCTCACTTGTGCTCCATGATCAGGTTTTAGGGTGCCTGCAGTTCTTACTTTCCAGACAATACTACAGGGCTCATCCCTGCATGTTTATCTCTTTGTACCTGTGCTATACGCCCATCAAAGCAGGAGAGATTCCTAAATCCCTTCTTACTTTTAATATTAACAACAGTAAAAATCATTGATTTTCCTCCAAGAAGATTTTTCAAGTTTTCACCTATAAAAGTCTTTTCCAAAATCCTTTCCGACACTGAGGACAATCAAATTTTAAAATGTATTAGTCTGAGGAATGAAAAAGTATCTAACTGTAATTTGCATGTTTCCCTTTTAGAAGCCTGCGCTTCTTGGCCTCACATACTTTAATCATGCGAGCATCTCCTGTTTTCTATTAGTCTGTTATTTTGGGGATCGGAGATAACTGCTCTCCATCTCCAGTATGTGTTGCAAATATTTTTCTCTCAGTTTTCTTTTAAACTTTGTATACGATAATTTTTTTTAAATGATAGAAGTGTCAAATTATTTTCCTTTATAGCTCCTGGTTTTTGTCTCTCAACTCCAAGATCATTTTTATATTTCGCTCAGGTTTTCCTCCAACGCTTTTCCAGCTGTTTGTTTCAGGATAAAATCTGATGCACCTGGAACACTGATGCAAAGCGAGGGAGGGCAGGCAGCCTACAGAACCCTCAGCACGAGGCCAGCTGCCCCTCTCAAGGGTCTTGATATAGACCCACCGCTCCGTCTGTTTCCGTGCCAACTTAAGATGTTATTATATATAAATATGATTTGGGGAAAAATAAAATCATAACTTATTAAAATTTCTTTACTTATCTTTAAGAAGAACGCCGGTGTGTTGCTAGTAAATTGACCTTAATTTCCTGTGTTGGACCTACTGAAATGCTCACCCGTCCAAGTGCGCAAAGAACTGACTCTGAGCTTGGTGAGAGCACCGTCTACAAGCCCGCTGTGCCCAGCTAACAGCGCGTGTCACCCTTTCTGAACTATTACAATGTCAGCTCAAAGCCTGGCCCGGTTTTTCCAGTTAGAGCTCCATAAAAGTCACTAAGGATCCTCTCTGAGGGCCCTCCTCCCTTTTGCCCCAACACAGCCCCAGCAGAGAGGCCGGCACGGGACATGAGCAGGGGAGTGGGATTTTGGTGGGAGCCCTCAGGGTCCCCAAGATGCAGGCTGTGGTGGGCCAGCACCCAATACGTCCCCTGTCAAAATGTGGTGCTGCCAAACAGTGAGCTGAGCAGAAGGCTCCGGATGCTACAGACGAGGCTCAGCCCTGAAAGGAGAGGAGGCTGTGTACTGGCCTCGCCCCTTCTCTGCCCCTCGGGCCCCCCTGCAGACGGAGTCTTCACAGCAACACCCCCAGAGGACAGGGGGGACAGGGAGCTCAGTCTCAGCGTTTCACTGACACACGTTCTGGATGGAGCAGAAAGCGGTGGTTAGGAAAAGCCATCACCCATGCCCCACACACGTTGCGTGTCTGGACATAAGTTCCATCAAGTTCCAGTTGCTGGAAGGAACACACTGACCTCTCTGGTCATCAGGCCCAGCGTCTCCTCTGGATACTGTGCGATGATTTGCAGGAGCCGGGGGAACTTCAGCCGGGCCTCGCTTGAGTGAAACTTCAAGGCCTTCAGCATCTTGTCCACCACAAGGGCTGGATACGTGAGCAGCTCTGTGGATCCAAGGACTAGTGGGACAGAAGAGGGGAGATGCGGTCACCACCCCCACACAGACACTGTGACCAGCCCTGATGCTCACTCCCCGGGGCTTGCATGTTGTAATCATGATGTTCCCTCTGCAGCAGAGCCGCCAGTCCTGGGCCGCGTGAGGGCTTCTCTCGGGGGCTGATGCCTGCTCCTGAGTGAAGCCGTCTGAGTCCTGGGCTGCAACAGGAGGGCGGCCACAGGAGCCAGTCATACTCACATCAGGTGAGCAGACGGAGGGACAGAGACAGCCTGCCACTGTCACAGGCAGGCCACAGGGTGCACCCGTGTCATTGCCTCTCAAACAAACTGTGTGCTGACACAACGTGAGGCTCACCGGACGGGCCCTCCTCCTCCCTGCGGAGCTGCTGGTCACAGAACTCGGCGAGTGTCAGGTAAGCCATGGTCACGCCAGCTGTAGGCCCCTGCCCCCGCGCCGAGGGCCCAGCCTCCTCCTCTGCCGCCCGCACGGCCTCAGAAAGGTGGTGGAACGCTCTCTGGTACAAACCTGCCATGACCTGGAATTCAGAGACCCTGACAGCTGTGAGTGGGCCTGGAGCTTCCTGAGGACCCTCCTCCCTACCTGGGCCCCATGGGCCACCAGCGAACACAAAGCTGTTAGTGCCAGATCGGGAGAGAGACACGAGCCTCACATAACCCCAGGACCTGAAAACCAACACAAGGCGGAATCCCCAGGCCCCAATGTGGGGCTGAGGAAGAGCTGGGACACAAGTGACATGAGGAGCACATGGGAATTACTGATAATATAGAATCACCTGAAAAAAGCCAACAGAGCAGCCGCTACACAAAAAAGCAGAAAAGCTGGTTTTCCCCACAAGCTAGTGGGGCGTCTGGATGATGACAGATGGCAAGATTACAGCAAAGTGCATGGAAAAACTGTCCATAGGGATCAACACAGACTCCTCATTTTTGACACTAAAGGAAAGGCATTATCCGAATGAACAGGAAGCACACGGAAGGTGTCACTAGCCCAGTGGCAAACTCGGCTGCATATAACTGCAAGCTACACGTTAAAGGCACACAGCAAGACCCGATGCTACTCTCATGCAGAACTGTCACGGTCAGGACAAACACACGATGCAAGGAGCTCAGGTCCCCAGGGTCACTACCTTGTCCACATCCTGTGAGCTGGACCCAGACAGCTCCACGACACTCCTGGCCTTGCTCTCCCCGATCCCAGCAAGGCAGGTGGGCTCGTCACAGAGTGCGTCGGCCAGGATCCGGTAGGTCGTGCCCAGCAGGACATGATGGTCACGGGAAGCCAGGGCGCTTGTGCTCGATGTGTTCTCAGCTATTGGATCACACACACACACACATACAATTTTTTTAGAAGTGAGTAAAAACACAAATTACAAAGAATATAGTCATAATTAAACTATTACACCCAAAATTTAGCTAAGTGTTAAAAAGAACATTTTAAACTTCAACTTTAAAGAAATAAAAGCTCCAAAAGTCATATTTAATAGTATTATTAGGATACAAAGTACCCTGGCTCCAAATACTTAATAAACATTTAATAAAAATTTTACAGGGCTTCCTTGATGGCTCAGTGGTAAAGGATTTGCCTGCCAATGTCGGAGACACAGGTCCCATCCCTGAGCCAAGAAGATTCCACATGCCAAGAAGCAGCTAAGCTTACCCACGGCCACAACTACTGAATGTGTGCTCCAGAGACAGGGAGCTCACAATGTCACAATGACTGAAGCCCGAGGGCTCCAGAGCCCATCCTTGGCAACTAGAAAAAAGCTCATGTGGTAATGAAGACCCAGCACAGCCAAAAATAAATAAAATTATCTTTTAAAACATGTTTATAAAATTGAGTTCCCAAATGTCAGATAGAGCAGCACAGAGAAGAGGTGAGAAGACAGGCTCCACTGCGTGGGCTGCACGGAAAGCAGCTCTCACCCAGCAGGGACGCGGTCCTGAGAGCCGTGCGTAGCTGCTCGGGCCGGCGCTGGGCCCGTGCCCGGCTATGGCTGAGCCGGCAGTAGGCCTGCACCCACGTCACCAGCCAGTCCTCCCGGGCTTTCGACTCTCTGTGCAGCTCCTTCAGCAACTTCAAGGCGAGTGAGAAATTGTTCTGCAGGAGAGAGAGAGGAAGCAGAGAGATGAAACAGGGCCCGCAGCACACAATCCAGCAGGGAGCAGGGACCCGTCACCTCAGCTGAAACCATGGGGTGTCCCTGTGTTTACCGCAGGGACAGTCGCAGCCACAACATGCACTCCAGGGAGGCTGGGAGAGCGTCACTGCGACCAAGCTCACAACACATTCCTCAACCACGAGACCCCTATCCACTGGGGTTTCCCCTCCCCAGCCGCACGACCATGGCCTTCTGCCCCTGGATCTGCCTGTGCCGGACCCTTGGTATCATCGAGTCAGCAGATGACCTTGGACTTGAGTCAGAACCCCACCCTTCCGTACAGCTGAGCAATGCTCTCCTGCAGGGTGAACCAAAGTTTATCATCCACCTCCTCCTGACACGTGTTCCAGTTTTGTTGTTGAAACGTTTCGGCTATTTCAAATAATGTTCTTTGCTAATTTGAATGCAAATAAAGGCCCTGGAGAAGCTAAAGGCAAAGGAGAAAATGAAAGATATACCCATTTGAAAGCACAGCAAGAACAAGAAAGTCTTCCTCAGTGATCAACACAAAGAAATAGAGGAAAACAATAGAATGGGAAAGAATAAAGATCTCTTTAAGAAAATTAGAGAAAACCCCGCCCCTGAGCTCGCGTGTGTGGGGGGGGGGGGGTGTGGGGGGGGAGCGCGCGCGATCTCGCGGGGCGGGTCTCGCATGTGCGCCCGGCCTTGGCCCCCGGTTCCCCCCGGTTCGTCCGGGTTCGGCCTTGTTCAGGGGGTTCTTCTTTTTTAACAACCACGGGAAGCCGCGGCTCTCCAAGTTCTACCAGCCCTACAGTGAAGATACACAACAGCAAATCATCAGGGAGACATTCCACTTGGTATCTAAGAGAGATGAAAATGTTTGTAATTTCCTAGAAGGAGGATTATTAATCGGAGGATCTGACAACAAACTGATTTATAGACATTATCCAACGTTATATTTTGTCTTCTGTGTGGATTCTTCAGAAAGTGAACTTGGCATTTTAGATCTAATTCAAGTATTTGTGGAAACATTAGACAAGTGTTTTGAAAACGTCTGTGAACTGGATCTAATTTTCCATGTAGACAAGGTTCACAATATTCTTGCAGAAATGGTGATGGGGGGAATGGTATTGGAGACCAACATGAATGAGACTGTTACACAAATTGATGCACAGAATAAACTGGAGAAATCTGAGGCTGGCTTAGCAGGAGCTCAAGCCCGTGCTGTATCAGCTGTAAAGAATATGAATCTTGCTGAGATCCCAAGAAATATTAACATTGGTGACATCAGTATAAAAGTGCCAAACCTGCCCTCTTTTAAATAAAAAATTAAAAAGGCCACTCCCAGGTAAAATACAGGGGAAAAAGTCATCTAAGTTTACCATACAGTTGTTTACCAATAATAAAGGAGGAGAGTCTTAACTTTTACTCTTGGATTTAAGTCAAGGTACTGTATAGACATTATATAAAATCAGTATGGAAGTTCAATGTTGCTTTTCTTGCTCAGTGGTTTTGAAGAAATTAAGTAGTTCCAGTGTGATTTTTTTTCTTTATTTTCTAAACTGCATTCCTGTGGCCACCTAAGGCATGCCTGGATGTATTGGCTATTACAGTATTTCAAAAAGTGTTCAGGACATTTCTTTAAATTGTGTACAACCCAAAATGTTGGTGTTTTGTATGGATCACAAGTGCAGCATTCCTTAATAATTTGTCACAATTGTTATTTAAAGAACGAAGTATGTATTGCATGAAAACCTTATGACCTGTTTCTCTTAGTTTAAATAAACTCCAAGGTAACCGGACTTATAAAGAAAAAAAAAAAAGAAAAGAAAAGAAAATTAGAGATACCAAGGGAACATGTCATGCAAAAATGGGCTCAACAAAGGACAGAAATGGTATGGACCTAACAGAAACAGAAGATATTAAGAAGAGGTGGCAAGAATACACAGAAGAACTACACAAAAAAAAATCTTCATGATCCAGATAATCACGATAGTGTGATCACTCACCTAGAGCCAGACATCCTGGAATGCGAAGCCAAGTGGGCCTTAGGAAGCATCACTACGAACAAAGTTAGTGGAGGTGATGAAATTCCAGCTGAGCTATTTCAATTCCTAAAAGATGATGCTGTGAAAGTGCTACACTCAATATGCCAGCAAATTTGGAAAACTCAGCAGTGGCCACAGGACTGGAAAAGGTCAGTTTTCATTCCAATCCCAAAGAAAGNCTTGCTCCTTGGAAGAAGAACTATAACCAATCTGCTGCTGCTGCTAAGTCACTTCACAATGACTGACTCTGTGCGACCCCATAGACAGCAGCCCACCAGGCTTCCCCATCCCTGGGATTCTCCAGGCAAGAACACTGGAGTGGGCTGCCATTTCCTTCTCCAATGCATGAAAGTGAAAACTGAAAGTGAAGTCACTCATCTAGACAGCATATTAAAAAGCAGAGACATTACTTTGCCAACAAAGGTCCGTCTAGTCAAAGCTATGGTTTTTCCAGTAGTCATGTGTGGATGTAAGAGTTGGACTATAAAGAAAGTTGAGCGCCAAAGAATTGATGCTTTTGAACTGTGGTGTTGGAGAAGACTCTTGAGAGTCCCTTGGACTGCAGGAGATCCAACCAGTCCATCCTAAAGGAAATCAGTACTGAATATTCACTGGAAGGACTGATGCTGAAGCTCCAATACTTTGGCCACCTTTTGTGAAGAACTGACTCATTTGTAAAGACCCTGATGCTGGGAAAGATTGAAGGCAGGAGGAGAAGAGGACAACAGAGGATGAGATGGTTGGATGGCATCACCAACTTGATGCACATAAATCTGAGAAAGCTCTGGGAGTGGGTGATGGACAGGGAAGCCTGTTGTGCTGCAGTTCATGGGGTCGCAAAGAGCTGGACATGACTGAGCAACTGAACTGAAAGCCCCTGGATACAAATTTCTGTTTGGACCTATGCTCTGCTTTCTCATGGGTATGTTCGGAGGAGGGGAACTACAGTGACATGGTGACCCTTAGCGTTTGCAGGAGCTGCCAGGCCAGTGACTGCACAGCACACCTCTATTCCAGCCGTCCTGAGGGTGGTGGCGGGTGGACCCTTGCTGTGGTCTGACCTGCCTCCCCCCCAAGACTTGTGGTGCTACGTTCTTCACGTGTGCACTAGCTACTTGAGTGTCTTCCTGGGAGAAGCATCCATTCAGATCCTTTGCCCGTTCTGTCACTAGATTGTTTGACTTCCTGTTATTCGGTCATAAAGAGTTATTTATATATTCTGGATAAGGGGACGCTTGTCAGATACACAATTTCCAAATATTTTCTCCCATTATATGGGTTGTCTCTTCACTTCCTTTAGTGTGTCACTTGAGGCACGGAAGTTTTTAGTTTTAATAAACAATTTCTCTACTTTTTATTTGGTTGTTTTATGGACATCTCTTAAATCTAATTCTCTGCTAAGCTTCAAAGATACTGACATTGGACTGTGTTACAACCCTACCAATCACTCGGACCAGAAGTCCAGGTTGCTCTCATCACTCCTGCCGTCTCTGGTCTTGTTTCACACAGTTTTCATTCCCACGAGCATGTACAAGACCTTCCAGGACCTCCTGGAGTCTCCAGTCCCTGATTCTGGGCCACAAGCTTCACGATCCACCTCAAATCAGCATCACTAAATAGCCTTTCCCTCACAGCAGACTCTGCAGTTCCCAGTTTCTCACCTTTGGGATTTTATTTAAAAATGTATCTCAGCACCTTTCTCTCCCAAGTGCCTCCCCTCCATGGAGCCTTCCTTCCCTCCTACCTCATGCCCTCCCCAGCAGTAGAAAATACCCACTGTGCCCCACTTCCTGCTGAGAAGCCACATGCACCCCCTCAGCTACATGCCCTGGACCACAGCCACTACTGCTGCACCCAGAGCTAAGAAGACAGAAGAAGAAACGGCCAGGGCCTTCTGGAAAAAAAGAATCTTTCTTTTCTGCAGGAAATAGGGAGAGACTACCTGATTCCAGAAAGATGCAGTGGGAAAGCAAGACACGAAACATCAAGAGCATTTCCAACTCCAAGGGAAGCCTGGAGTTACCAGAGTCACGAAGAACAGATTCGTGTGTGTGTGGCGGGGGAGACCAGGACAGGAGACAGATCCTCCTCGGTGGGGGATTCGAGAGCATCTGAAAGCCTGCTCCTCTAGAGTATAATTTAGGGACTGATACAGCTCCTTTATTCACTTAGGCTGCTCCAGGCTGGGCTTTTTGTTATTGAAAATATAAAAATTCCTGATACAATACCTATCTCAAAGAAAAACATTATATATGAGTATTAAAACCCACAAAAAAGAAATACTAATTATTTCTACTGGCATAATATTCTTTGCTTTATAACAGCAATCTACATAGGGTCATTAAGACAGAAAGCTCCCCTAGTACATTTAAATGTGGTTACATGAAAAATTTGATACTTAAAATGTTAATATGCCACTTGTAAACAAAGCACACTTTGTATAGATTAAGGATCTTATTATCAAATGATAGAGTTTTCACAAAATACAATTTGAAACCTAAATACAATTTGTAACAAATTGGCAAGCATTTGTTTTGTTAAACAAGAGAAAACCTGATATTAGGTCTATTTTTTTATAAGTAACAGAAAATAAACATTTTGAAATGGTTGACAAGTGAATAATAAACTTTAAAGGCTTTCTGGAAAACTTTAATTTTTCTTCAAGTTTACTTTCTTATAAAGAAAAGAAATACTAACAACTCCATCACCTCTAAGCATCAGTTTTTTAAGAGAAGCTTGACTTAAAGACCGCCGGTTCAGAGTCTGTGGCCCTGGCGCCCACCTGCTTCCTCGCACTCTCGGCCATCTGCATCCTCATGGAGAAGCTGCAGCTCGTGATCAGGGCCCGTGCGTCCTCTTCCTGAGTCTGTGCATCCATCTCGGCCCCATCCTCACTTGCACCTTCACTGTCTTGAAGGAGACTGAGCTTCTCCTCTATTTTGCTGAGAAAGAAACATCTACATGAAACAAAGAAAAGAGTTAATGCCGGACTTGTGAAAGAAATCTCTGACATACAGGAAGCTACTGGATAGCATTCAGACAGATATTCTACACTTACTGAAATTTTGCTCATTTTTTAGACTGTTAGTGTTATACTCTTAGTACTGGACTTAATCTCCATTTTTATTAACCAACTCTGAGGATCCTCTGAAGATCACTTTAGATATTTTAACTTTCCAGATATCATCTATTGCCTCCACCTCCACAAAGTACAATATTTACACTCACAACCTGCCTTCTTAATGAAGGGACAGCACATCTGGTGTTGGGTCGAAACCATTTTTCTCTTCTGTCTCCAAATCTAAGGTCTTCCTCCCAAAGTCAGACAGTATCAAGTGGTAGGCAGATTATAACCACTGAGAACAGTGGCTGTGTTCCATATATGGCCATCTGATTTGGTTCCTATGACTGTATTTCAGTGTTTTAATTTTCAGTAACACTGACACACAAAAAAACCACTAAAGACATGGAAGATATGAAAAACACAATTAACCACCTTGATCTAATTGAAAATTATACACATTATGTCCAAGAACTGCAGAATATACTGGGTTTTCAAGTACACATGGTATATTTACTAAAATAGACCATATGCTTGGCCATAGATCAAGTCTTGATAAATTTAAAGAGACTGAAACCATACAGTATGTTTATAACCATAAGGAATTAATTCAGAAATCAGTAAGACACAGAAACTCACTTATAACTATTTTATGGATCAAAAAGAAATCACAGAAGAATGAGAAAATATTTTGAACCACAAGATAATATAAAATATAAAAATATAAATGCAATGTACTAAAATCTGCAATGTGCAGCTGAAGCAGTGCTTAGAGGAACATTATAACTTTAAATGTACTGAACAAAAAAGCATAAAATCAATGATCAAAGTTTATACCTTAAGAAACTGAAAAAGGAAAAGCTAAGTCTAAAATATGCAGAAAGAAAATACTAAAGATGAAACCAGAAATAAATTAAATAGAAAACAGATCGATGATAAAACCAGCAAAGCAGATCCTTTGAGAAAATCAGCAAAATTGACAGACATCTAAAATTGACAAACTGATGAAGAAAAAAAAGAAAACACAAATCATCAATATCAGGACTGAATAAGGATCTCCCACTACAGACACCACAAATAATAACATTAGAGTATAATATGAGCAACTTTATGCCAACAATTTGACATGAAATGGAAAAATACAATGTAATAAAATTGATATGGAAAGAAAGAGAAAATTTAAATAGTCCTAGATGTCTTTTTTCAGAAAGGTTTT